TTTCCATGCGTGAACCGTTTGATCATTTCATTCCTTCCGCTGTATTCAAACTGGTATTATTATAGAACCAGTTCGAACGAAGACGTATGAGATCTCAAATTGGTTCAAGCATCTCAAACGAAAGAAAAGAATCGGAAAGACATGCCCACATACGTCGATGATCGAAAACCTGAGGCGATTTCTAAATGGCAGGCAGGGATTTCACGATGAGCGAAATTGATTGAACACCGAGAAAAGGATGGTATGATAAGGCTTCCAGTGCTGATTAATTGGGATGCGCCACACATTCTACTCACAATCAGAAGCGTAGTGGCATTTTCAGTGCACTACGCCGATGTATCAGTTAATGCTCTTATTATTAAGTTGAATCCGAGTCCAAATACCCTTCCTCAGAACGATTTGAAGCCTATTTGGCGCAGAAGGAGGTCGGTCTATGATTTTATCTCTGGACCATGTGCATTGTAAAACGCACCCCTTCTCACTGTGCTTAACTCACAACGAGAAAAATTAGTTATCACGGGAAAGGGTAGAAGATACTTGCAGACCCTCAAGAAGGGGTACAAGAACAACATGCAAAAGTTTTTTGAAGAGGGAAAAGCGAACCGGCAGCGCTTGCCAAATGATTTCATGTAGTCGTTTCCGCTGCAGATGCTAGGGCGTGTTAGGCACTGGGTTTGACGCGGCGCTAGCTCGTTTTCCACGAATTGTCGTCACTTGCCCGCTTTAAAACATGGTACGGAAGGCCGTCTTTTAGCCAAATCCTCCTTCCCCTTCTTCCCTCCCCCTCCCTGACTCGTCCCAACGTCTGTAGCGGAAACGGCCGTACCGATGATGTGGGGAAGGGCTGGACAAGTACCAGCGCTGCCCTTACTGCATTTCAATGGGGCGAAAAACCCTTGGCATTTTGTAATGATCAATCAAATGTGTTGTGATAATTTCAGTGGATAAAATAAAATATAAACAGTAATATTAGCATGTTCGCCCTTGAAAAAGGGGCCTTTGAAATAAGTACACGTTAGAATGTTTCTCCCCCTCGTTCCGCCTTTCTTTCCTTTTAACTATGCATTGTTGAAGTGTCAGGGTTTTTTATCTTCGGAGAGCTGTGGTGAAGGAAATTAGCTTCGTTTCCATCGGGCAAGGAGGGTCCGTTGGACTACTTTGGGGACTGATGGATACATTGCAGGGGTCTGCTCAAAAGATTTGAAACTTGAATAAATGGCAGTCAAGCTAGCGATACAGATTCCAGTCGTCCTACAATTAGTTTTCCACCACTTTTCTGAGTTCTGAGCTTTTAAGGTTTTTCTTCGAGTCTCTCTTTGAGGTGTGGAGACCGCAAAATCAATGCACGGGCCGCACGTTTTTCATCCTTCTCGTCAAGTTTTCGGAGTTCTTGAATCAGAATTTCCTCTGTGAGCTGATGGCTTCCTACTCAGCTCTGGAGATAAATATTATTTTATTCACAACTGCTAATAGATAGCCATAGCTAATGTAGGCAACCCCTCTATGGATCTGGGTTAAAAGGGCACTCCACGGTAGTCTCGTACACTAGCCCAGCTACTCATGAACAACCTGTACCCGCATCCTCGTGCATCCTGGTCGTTACCATGAGAGAGGTGAATGGGTCCACAGCAGCGGTAGCGTGCCACTTTATCCGCTCAAAGTGCACGGGAACGGGCGAAAGGCAGTGTTACCCGGTTGCCGCAAGGCCAACACCCACCACCTAGCAGAGGACTACTTGTTGAGCTCACCAGAGTGTTGCACTTGTGAGCAGAGTTGCGAAGCGCACCGACACACTAACCTTTGCAGCCCCCTTCCGTGCTAAAAGATGACGCGCTACTGCAGCTACCAGCAACAGCCTGCGGAAGTCCGCTCCTTTAGCTCGAGCGTCGGTTCTTACCCTTCCTTAGACGCGACGAGAACGTATCGAGATCACAAAGAGCCTGAGACCCCCGACATCACGCGATCAGAAAAGCCACAACACTTTTAACAAAAAAAAACAACAACAATGGGGGGGCGGGGCCCCCCCCCCCCCCCCCCCCCCGGCGGCGGCAGGGGAACAAAACACCACTACAACACCACACCACCTCACCCAACAACAAAAAAAAAAACGTGGGGGGGGGCGGGGGCGGCGGAGGGGGGGGGGGGCGGGGCGGGGCGGGCGGCGGCGGGGCGCGCGCAGCAGCCGAGTGGCTAAATCTCTGTTTGATTACACACGCGACGGTTTGTGATAAGGGAAAGTGTTCTGCAGTCGGGAAACGTGGACTTTGCCCCAAGCTGTAAAAAAAGGCAATTCACTACTACATGCTCCCGGCAAACTTTCAAGCCCATCGTCATAATGATCCCCTGCTCCTCTAAACCAGTTCTCATAGGGATCCGGAAATCAGAATGCTCGAAGAGGCAGTGAGCACTTTATGGCTGGGAGCGGTTACAGATGAACGTCATTGGTAGGAAGGGCACCTGCGAGTAGGGTAGTTGCCAAACGCTTTCTCGCAGCATTTCACCACGACGTCGCGGCAGTAACGCCTCCCTCACAGCCATCGTGCACCATCCCGTCTGAGAGGCGTGCATTAGCGCACTTTTGGAGACGTTTATTAGCGCAAGTTTGTATCTTTCACCCCCCCGCCTTCTTCATATATTGATCCCTCTGCATAAAGGATTTGACAACATTTGGATGTATATGTATAACTAAGTAGCTAACTTAAGGCAGTAATTCTAAGACAGACGTATGCAATCGTTGGGGGGAACAAAATGAGGTGAGGGTATGATGCACCATGTCGATGGGGATTTTGTTTTAATTCTTAAGATAGTTCCTGAATAACGCATGAGAATTTGTTCTAGTTGTAGACATGGTTTTCGCTAGTGTTTTTTTTTGTTCCATGTTTCCATCACCTTATCAATTTTTTTGAGCACGTGGAAAAACTTCTGAGAGAATGGGACAAAGGCAGTAGAGTGGGAATTTAGGAATATGAAGGTAGAATGAGGATGGTGTATCGTACCGGAGGAAGGAAGCTAGGGGGGGGCGTCGAAATGTGTTCCCACTGCAGGTTTCCGAGCACCAATAAGAAAGAAACTTCCGGGAGACTCATTTATCTCTATTGATGCATATTCACGCATATCAGTTTTGGAAAACCACTGTAAATAGTAAATAAATGAGCATTTATAAAAATGTTTATAATTCTTTCTCCATAATTGTTTAAATAACGACGCCATTTACAAATAGAGATCTCATTCAAAGCATGAAATTCCGTACACATAGGCAGTGGGACCCATAAAATAATTTAGAAAAATTCAATTCCCGAATATCTCTCGAGATTGTGCTTGCCCGCTCTCATTGCGATTAACCGTGCTCCTTTGAGGATGTTGTGAAGTGGAGACGCTCTGAAAATGGTACAAGGATGCAGCTTCAAAACAGTGACTTCTGAAGTTATCTCTATCTCTATTCCATCTCAACAGCGTGTACTCCCAGCCACTATTGATTTTTCGCGCGCGTGTAGATCATCGATGCGCGTCAGTGTCAATGTTCGCAGAGGTACAGGGCAGGGCACACCATCACGTTGTGGAAATTTTCTGCAAAGTAGTACCCACTCCCCTACCCCAAGTTGGGTACGACCCCTTTCCCATCCAAGGTACAGCATGGGACATGAGGTAGCGGTGTTTCCCTTTGGATTTTCTCTTTGAGTGCGGCCCCAAATTCCCCAATCCCCGACCATAATCTTATCAGACTTTTTCGAGTCCATACTGAACTTCCAAAAATTCAGTTCCCTCCCCCTCCCAGCAAAAATGGCGTCGAGCAGCGAAGGCGTCAAGGGAAGGGATGGACTTCTCTGATCAGCTATCAGAAAGAAAAGCTTCGTGGTGCCGACAATCAGAAGTACAGCCGTAATCCCTGCAAACGACAGGACGCGGCGCGGCGTGTGACGCGGCGCGTGTTGCAGTGCAGCCAGGGCGCCCTTTTTCCATTTTTTGATGACATCTAGGGCCCTCTACGGCTGGTGGAAAGTCTAGCCTCGCTGCGCTTCTGCCCACGCCTCCGTCGCACGTCCTGTCGTTTCCAGGGATGATGACTACATACATGCAGCGCATGAAACGGGAGAAATCAGAGGAACTTTTCCCAGAACAAAATACGTCCTCTCCCATCCCCTCTCACCAGCGACCTAATACGATCCTATGCTGTGTTTTACACAATGGATGGTGAGCCCTGGTAGAGGGCTACGCAGCTACCTGGAATGGTCTTCTTGCGGAACCTTGTAGTGCAGACAGCTAGAGGACAGCGACTGCCAAGCATCGGAAGGTACAAAAAAAACAAGGGACAAGTCACAGCGCAGGTTTTCCTAAGAATAGGGGACTTCGGGTGGACGAGCCACTTTCAATGCGTGAAAAGCTGGAACGTGTGAGGTCACAGCGGTCATAAAGCGCCATGGAGACGAGAGGCGCAGAGAAAAAAGTTCGACACGCTTGAGTTCAAGTGTTCCGGAGAGTTGCGTTGAGAGGGTCCCGAGGAGTATAAAAAAGGAAATCGTACCTTGACAATGTCGCGAATCTGCTGAAGAGTTTCCTTTTGCATTGAAAGCATTGCCTCGAAGGTTTTGATCTGAGCCGTTGCCATTTCTGTCCATTTGTCAAACATGCGCTTTTCGCTCTGAACCACCTTCATAAAAGAAGTGATTGTGAAAAAGGTAACATCAGTCATTGCCTGTGTAAAGTAAGAAAGGTGGTCGAGATATGGGCAGCAAAAAAAGGGTGAAACGCTTCAGAGACTATTTAAACAGGGTTAATCCCAAGGGGTTTGAAGCAGCTGCGCGGCGGCGAAATTTGTAATATGGGCGGAGCGGAACCCACGAAACGGAACGCTCTTACCTAATTGCACAGAAGTTGGTTATAGGAGGGGTCAAGCTAGATGGGGGGGGACGAGACAGAGTGGCATCTGCTTTGGTTGTAAGGGGAAGTCGGCGCAGTTTGACGACGGGGGGGGGCATTTTGCAGTTTTGCTACTT